TAAAAAAAAAATTTTTTTTTTTTTTTTTTTTTTTTTTTTTTATTTTTAAACATTTCACTATTATTAAATGTATTTATTATAACTCTAATTTTTTGTTCATTTCTTTTTTTTATTTTAATTATAATTAACGAACTTATTTATGAAAAAAAAAGTATATAGTATAAAACTTATTGTTAACAGTACTAAGAAAAAAGAAAAACAAAAAGAGAAAAAAGAAATAAGCATATAAATAGATGCATAGATAAATTATTACATAACTAAAAAAAAAGAAATAATAAAGTAAAAAATGTTTAATGCTTAATTTTTTTTTTTTTTTTTATCTTTTCCAATTCTTATAAAGAATTTTATTAAGAAAAAAATTATTACAAAAAAATTAAACCATAATAAAAAAAGATAAAAAAAAATATTTATTTTTCTATATATATTGTTTATGTTAGACAATTTTATTAGTATTCTATTGGATTTGAATAAAATAATAAAAAAAAAAAAACATTTTAATATATCAAATATTTTACATTTTAAAATTTTTGAAATAAGCTCTATATTCAGTATACTTGATAAATGTTCAAAAATTCATTCTCTGTAATTCATTATGAATAATAATCTAATTTACAAAGAAGATAGATGTTATTAAAATTTATACATATTCATTACGTTTAAATATTTTTTCTTTTGTTTTTTTATTTTATTATTTTTTTTTTTTTTTAATTCTTCTTTTTTCAAATTGCACATTATATCTATTAATTAAATACATAATGTTTTATATTATGTAAGAAATATGGTGATCTTTTTAAAATTTAGTTTTAAAAGTAAAATAATCGTAGAATAATTATTGCAGTTATCATTAGATATTAATTTAAACTTTTGTTAATTTTATAATTGATTTGTATTTATTTTTGTTCCAAAACTATTTTCATATATATATATATATATATTTTATTTTATATTTTATTTTATATATATATATCCTTATTAATATTCTGTTTTAATGATTAATATTTGTTACACTATGATGGATATAGATGAAGTAAAAAATGAAATTTTAAAAAGAGATTTTTTAAATAATGATAATTCATTAAGTTATGATAATAATAAAAAAAGAAAAAAGAAAAAAGAAAATTGTTTTGTAAATTTAAGAGAGTGGACTATTAAAGTACAAAATAGATATGCTAAAAAACTAAAAAAAGAAGAACAAAAAAAATGTTTAGAAAATAATAAAAACAACAAAAATTTACAAAATGGTGATAGTTATAGATCTTCAAGTTCTTCTTCTTTTAAATCGAGATCAAGTTTAGGTAAAAAAATTTCTTATTCATCTGAAGAATCAAACTTTGATTCAGATATAGAGCAAAGAATAAGAAAATTTTTAAATTTAGAACAAAGTAATAATTTAAAAAAAAAAAATAAAAACAATCAAGATAACAATAAAGAAAATAATGATATTAATAATTCATTAAAAAAAATATCAAATACAGAAAAAAATGAATGTGTGGATAACGAAAGTAATAATAAAAATAATAAAGAAATAATAAACAAAAGTAATAATAAAGAAAAAATAAGCAAATGTAAAGAAAATAAAAATGATAATGAAGAAAAAAAAAAGGAAAATGATAAGGAAATAGTAAAATTAAAACAAAAATTAAAAGAAACTATAATAGAAGAAAAAGATAAAAATATAGATATAAAAAATGAAAGAGAAGAAGCAAAAGAAAGGGAAGAAGAAAATAAAAATGAAAACAAAAAGATAATAAAAATAAATGATTGTAATTCAGATAAAAATGTTGAGGGTAATAATACTAATAGTGATAAAAATGTTAAAAAAAATTATGATATAAATCAAAACTATAAAAAAAAAAAATCATATTCTAATGACAAAATGAATAATACAAAAAAAAAAAAAAACAATATAAATGATACATTAAAATATACAGATGAAAAAAATTCTAATAACAATGAAAAACAATATAATTCATTAATTCAGGAAAAATATGTTAATAAATCAAATAGCAATAATAATGATAAATCTTATGAAAATGATAAATTAACAAATGAAAACTTAGAGGAAAATAAAAAAGATAACGATGGTTATTATTCCCATAAAAATAAAGATAAAGAAAATAATAATAAATCTAATTTAGAGGATTCAAATAAAATAATGAAAGAATCTACGAAAAAAGAGGAAACAAAAATATTAAATGAAAAACACAAAAAGAATTATGAAAGTAATTTATTATCTCCTTCAAAAAAAATAAAAAATCATAATTGTGAAAATTCAGATAAAAGTAATAATAATAAATCATATAAACATTTAAATGGTGAGAATATTCTTAAAAATGAAGAATACAAAAATAATTATGTATCAGATAATTATGATGATATTAACAAATTATCAGGTAAAAGAAGAATGAATAATGAATATAATAATGAACATTATTCAAAAAAAAAACATTCTAATGTTTGTAATAACAACATTAATAAAAATGATAAATATAATAATAAATCAGATTATTCAAATAATTCATGTTTTGAAAAAGATAATAAAAAAAGAAATAATAAAAAAAACTTCAATGAACATGAAGAAAATTATATAAAGTTATCCTCTGGAGAATCTAGGAATGATATGGAAAAAGGTAATAAAAAAAAAAAAAAAAAAAAATAAATGATTTATATTTTTATTTAAATTATGAAAAACATAATATTGCTTAAATGTAAAATTGTTTTTATGATATTTATATTAAATATTATATATATTTTTTTGAAAGTTATGATAACATAATATTTATGTTCAAAAAATTATTTGTATTCTGTTATGTAGTGAAATTGTTTATATTTATATATTAATTTAAATTTTTTTTTTTTTTTTTTTTTTTCTTCTGCTTTTTAGTTTTAGAAAATGGTATTAGTAAAGCAGAATCATCATGTTTACAATCTACTAAAAAAAATCAAGATATACCTATTAAAAAAAAGGAATTAAATAGTTTTAATGAACATAATAAATATAATTCTTCTCATAATAAAAAAAAAAGAGATAAAAATTCATATGATAGTGAAATAGAATGTATAAAAAAGTGTAACTATAAAAATAACTCAAGAGAATGTGAGAAAAGAAGTATAAAAAGTGAACATTCATACAGAAAAAGATATTCAAACAGTTATAACAAAGAAGAAATAATAAATGAGAAAGTTAAAAAAAATTCGCAAGATAAGATAGAATCTTCTTATATAAATGATAATTTAACTACTAATAATAAATTAAGATCAAAAGAAGACAATGAAAAAACAAAAAACAGTTATACTCAAAATACATTAAGGAAGTATATTCAGAACAATAATACTGTACTCTCTGAAAAAGAGAGAGATAGAGAAAGAGAAAGAGAAAAAGAAAAAGAAAAAGAAAGAGATAGAGAAAAAGAAAAAGAAAGAGATAGAGAAAAAGAAAAAGAAAGAGATAGAGAAAAAGAAAGGGAAAGAGATAGAGAAAGGGAAAAAGAAAGGGAAAGAGAAAGGGAAAGAGAAAGGGAAAAAGAAAGGGAAAAGGATAAAAGGAATGAAATAGAAAAAGATAAAGAAAGAGATGCAAATAGACAAAAAGAAATAGAAATTGAAAGAGGAAAAAAGAGAAATAAAGAAAGAGAAAGAGATAGAGAAAGAGATAGAGATAGAGAAAGGGAAAGGGAAAAGGAAAAGGAAAGAAATAGAGAAAGAGAGAGAGATAGAGAAAAAGAAAGGGAAAGGGATAAAAGGAATGAAGTAGAAAAAGATAAAGAAAGAGAAAGGGAAAGGGATAAAAGAAATGAAGTAGAAAAAGATAAAGAAAGAGAAAAAGAAAGAGAAAGGGAAAAAGAAAAAGAAAAAGAAAGAGATAGAGATAGAGAAAAAGAAAGAGAAAAAGAAAGAGATAGAAGAATTCCAAAGGACAAAGATAGGGAAAGAGAGAGAGAAAAAGAAATTCAAAGAGTGGTTCAAAAAGAAAAAATAAAAGAAAGAGATTTTCGAGATGAAAGGGATGAAAGAAAAGATAGGGACAGAAATAGAGAAAGAGTTAGAGAATTGGAAAAAGATAATGATAAAAATTTATCCAAAAATGTAGAAAAAAAAAATTTTAAAAATACTAATTCGTCTTTAGACTTTTTAAAAAAGAAATGTAATGGAGTTGAATCTTATATAAATGATAAAAGATCTTACATAAATGAAAATAATAATTATGTAAAAAAAAAAATATATGACGAGAATATTCATTATGAATATTCAGATAAAGATAGATATATTTATAATTCTAGCGATATTCACTCAAGAAAATATTATTCCGATAAAATTAAATTAAATGATAAAGAAAATTGGGAAAAAAAAATGTCAAAATTAAAAGAAAAATTAATAAAAAAAAATATAACCAAGTAATATTTTTTAAAGATAATTTATTATAACATATTATTTAAAAAAAAAAAAAAAGATGAAACATATCAACTTAAGAATTAAAGCAGTTATATGATATTTTATCAAGGAATAATTTTAATAATAGTAAAAAAAAAAAAAAAAAAAAAAAGAAAAAATTAAAAGTGATCTATAAATTTCAGAATATATATATATATATACATATATATATAATTTACATAGATTTTAAAGAAATATTAAAATAAGGAAGTAGAAAATATATAACATGAAAATGAAAATAAAATTTATGAAGACCTCAAGTAGTTTGTCCTAATGAGATTATTATAAATAAATTTTATTTTCATAAAATATTTCTTTGATTTTTTTACAATATTTTATTTTATCTTTATTTTTTTAATTATGCTAATGCATATATATATATATATCTATTAAAGGATTAAAATGAAGTTCTAATTTTCTAAAGATTACTTGACCATAATTCATTAAATGAAAGAAATAAAATTTTAATTTTTTTTTATTTTTTAATTTTTAAATTTATCCTATAGAAGACAAAAAAAAAAAAAAAAAAAAAAAAGAAAAAAAAGTTATGTACTCTATCTTTCAAAAAAAATTTATATGTATTCAGTATTTATTAAGTTTTAAGAAATGACTGAGAAAGTTCACAGTGTAATGTTAATAATAAAAAAAAAAAAAAAAAAGAAAAAAAAGAAATAGTATTAGATAATAACAAAAGGATATAATGAATGTTTGTTAGAAGTTTTTACTTCATATAATTGGATATATATTGGTATATAAATGGATTTTATTTTTATATTTTCATTAGAATTTGCATTTTCTTGTTATCTTGAAAATGGGAATTTAAAGAATTTTGTTTTCATATATTTGAATTTTTTTTTTTTTTTTTTTTTTGCTAAGAATAATAATAATTAATTAGAATAAATACATAAAAAGAATACTTCTTTGTTTAAAATTACATAAACTTATATATCTTACTAAGAAATATTAAAAAATTTTATTAATTTATATATATTTATTTATATATTTATAATATCTTTTCAATTTTTATACAAATATAATTATGAGCAAATAACGTTAATGAAAATAATGTTTTAACGAAAGATACTTCTCCAATAGACATATCACCATTAATAAAATTTCAATTTATATGTATTTGATTAAATATTTTTCAGAACAAAAAAAAAAAAAAAAAGATATGATAAACATTTATTTTTAAAGAATAATGTCAAAAAGAAATATATATATATATTGTATCCTACTAAG